CAGTTTCCCTTTTCCCGGGCAGCTGCACAGCCAGACCCCATGCGATGCTGATTTACTCTTAATTTACCCCTTAGAAACCTCCTCGAAGAGGCTTTGAAAGAGCAGGAATGTTTCAGCATTATACAGCAGGGCCTGAGGAAGCAGACAGAGAGGGGGGAGGAGGCTCACTCCCGTCTCCCCCATCCCCACCAGTGAGCCAGGGGGGCTCGTTAGACTCACCATGTCCTTGACGAGCCTGGAAGCCTTGGAGGTCAGCCCACCACTGCAGGGAGCCTGGTACGGCCTTGGAGTTACCACGCTGCTTCTTTTATCCCTCCCTTAATCCTTCTCTCTGATTTGAGCAGCCATCGGGCAGGCTCTGCATGTGACCCACGGAGCTCCAGGATGCAAATTCAGACCCGGAGCTGAATCTATTTTGCTGGGCAGGAGGCAAGAACCCCCCCCCGGAGCAAGGAGGATGGAGCAGGAGCGATGCACCGTGCAAAAGCAGGGTTTGGGCACCTCGTGGCTCCGCATCCCCGCTTCTGGGGGGATTTTTTCCCTATTAATATTTTCCTCTCGAACTCAGAGGGGGACCTGACTGAACACATCCCACGCTGCTCGGGAGGAGAGAGGAAGTGAGTAAGTATCAAAGCTTGGTATCACCCGTGATGGGCAGCTGGGGATGTGGATTAGCATCTCTACAACGCCGGCAGGTTCTCTCTCCCGGAGATTTTCAGCGCCGGTGAAAGGCGTGACGGCCAACAGCCCTGGAGACAGGGATAAGGAGCCATCCTCATCCCCCAGCCAGCAAACGAGGAGGTTTCCACACTTCCCAATTCTCCCTGGGGAGTAGGAAAGGGGAAAGCCACCCCCACCCCACCACCAGCACCCCAGCAAGCAGAGCCCTGGAGTGCATAAACCCGTTGTGAACGGGTTGCAAGAAAATCTCATTTCTGGAAAATCTCACGGAGTCACTACTGAGGGTCAGCAGGAAGGAGCCAACCAGCTGTCCCCAGCCCCAGCTGAGGGTCCCTCCAGCCTCCCAGTGTGGAGCCCAACAACCACTCTCAGGACTCATTTCACTTGGAAAAGTGGAACATTAAGTCTAAATTCCAGCTCCCTTAGGAGCATAGAAGTGGAAAGCTGGCACGGGCACAGGCACAGGGTGAAGACAGAATCACAGAATCACCATGCTTGGAAGGGACCTTTGAGATCATCGAGTTCAACCACAAAAAAAACAAACAAACAAACAAAAAAGACCCAAACAAAGAAAACCAAACACACCACCAACAAAACAAAAAACACAACACCCCACCACATCCCATCCCCCCATAACCCAACAATCCTGGGCACTAGAGCATGCCCTGAAGTGCCACATCTACACGGTTCTTAAATGCCTCCAGGGATGGTGACTCCACCACCTCCCTGGGCAGGCTGTTCCAGTGCCTGACCACCCTCTCAGGAAAGTCAGTCTTCCTAATATCTAATCTAAACCTCCCCTGCTGCAATTTCAGACCATTCCCTCTGCTCCTGTCATTATTCCCTTGGGAGAAGAGGCCAACCCTCACCTCTCTACACCCTCCTTTCAGGTAGTTGTAGAGGGCAATGAGGTCTCCCCTCAGCCTCCTCTTCTCCAAACTAAACATGCCCAGTTCCCTCAGCCTCTCCTCGTAGGACTTGTTCTCTAGACCCCTCACCAGCTTGGTGGCTCTCCTCTGGAGAAGGACAAGGGACGCCTCACTGAAGATGGGGATGAACGGGGTGCTTCTTGGCATGAGCCAGCTCCCCAGGGACACAGATGACCAGCATGACCTCTCCCAGCTCAAATCCCACAGATAGGGCCAAGCCCGATGGCTGACCAGGACCAATGCTCCATGGGAAAGTCTCCTCCATGTTATTTCTTACGCTCTCCACATCTCTAACTTCTCTGGGGACTTTCCAAAGACAGGGGAATGTAAGTGTAAGGGGATCCCACAGACTGAGAAGCTGGGAAGATAAATGGCGTGGCATGTTGGGACCACAGTGGTGATGCCTTGGCCGTCCCTGCCTCTGTGCCTGGATTGATCAGATTTACTTCTCCATTTATTCCAGCATTGAAAACCAGGTATCAATGGGTCTGCTGCTCCTGAGCTGTCAGAACAAGCCCTCCCTCGTTCAATATCTACCTGTGGGAATGTCCCTCTAATACACCTCGCCAGGGCACTATGAGACCTGCAGTCTTTCTTCTACAGGAGACACCCCAAGTCCACGACTGCTCAACCTGCCGGCGTCAACAAGGCTCGAAGTAAAACGGAACCTATGTGCCACTTAAGTGGGAATTTCTCATCGCATCGGCTGGGATCAATGCCTCGACAATATCAGTAATTAGGCTCAATCCTGCAAAACCTAATCTGAGGAGAGAAACCCCAAGGAATCTCTCTCCTTGGACCTGATAACTATTTCACGGCACCTGCAATGACACGCAACCACGGCGAAATCGATACGGGAACATCATTGTAGGAATTAACCATGTCTGACGACGCATCCGTCTCTATTAGAGTTATGATCTCGTCCAATTATGGATCTTCACTGAACTTGTAATTATGAGTTCGGTACTGTGACTTCCCACTAAGCTATTGCTTTCCTTCCACGAGGGAGAGAAGAGTCAATGAAAGGATAATGGAAAACTCCTTTCAAGGACGCAGCGATGGCAAAATTTAGCTAGACAGGAGGGGAAATACAATGGGGACTTTATGCAAGATGATTCCCTCTGTTGGCCACCACCGAACACGAACAAACTGGGTTCTTGCAGCATCACTCAAACACTGCTGTAGATCTAACAGCCAGCTCCATGCAACCGCATGAGACAGCTCATCCTCCCGAATCCCCTTCAAACCCAGCCATCAAAGCTGCCCAGGTGAACAACAGCTTATTCAAAGGAAAATAAAGAAATTTCTTCCCATTTATCTCTTCCTTTATATTTGCCCTACAAGGAAGCTTAAACAAACAGCCCAAAGCCAGCACGTATGTCAATAAGAGTATCTTTGTACCCAGCATCCAGCACGAGTGTGTTTTGAGAGACTGACGGAGCGTTTGACCTCATGGGGAATGGCGTCAAGGCACCGGGAAGGCAAAGATTTACCCACTTTTCATTAAAACACAGTTTTTCCACACCTTGCTCGTGCACCGTCTCCCCCTTCCCTTGTGGCAGCTGAAAAAAACCCAAACTGCGGTGACTTTTCCAAAGCGCCAAGGACTTTCACACCCAGCCCAGTATTTCAGAATGACTCATTGAAAAAACTACCTCAGCATTTGGGAAATTTTCTCCCTGCACCAGTGACTTTTTTGGGGACCATTTCTTTTGTCCCCGTTTGCCACACAACCAGTTCCTTCCCTCTCTTCCAAAGCAGACGTCGCAAATCATTTCCCCCTTAACACGGCTATGTCCCTACTGCAACAGGTCACTTTAACTCACAAATTCCCTCCCGGCTTTTCATCCAAAGCTCATTTAAAACTCGGTGAGAATTTCTCGTGGTTCTAAAACACATGGAAAAAAAGAAAAAAAAGGAATTGGGCGTCCTGCTTTTATAGAATAGAATCATAGAATTGCCCAGGCCGGAAGGGACCTCCAAAGGCCATCTAGTCCGACCTCCCCACAGTCAGCAGGGACACCCCCAACTAGACCAGGTTGCCCAGGGCCTCGTCGAGCCTCTCCTTGAATATCTCCAGGGAAGGGGCCTCAACCACCTCCCTGGGCAACCTGTTCCAGTGCTCCACCACCCTCACAGTGAAGAACCCTCTCCTAATCTCCAGTCTAAATCTGTTCCCCTCCAGCTTGAAGCCATTGCCCCTCGTCCTGTCACTGCAGGCCTTTCTAAACAGGCTCTCCCCAGCCTTCCTGTAGGCTCCCTTCAGGTACTGGAAGGCTGCTGTTAGGTCTCCCTGGAGCTTCCTCTTCTTCAGGCTGAACAACCCCAGCTTCCTCAGCCTGTCCTTGTAGCAGAGGTGCTCCATCCCCCTGATCATCCTTGTGGCCCTCCTCTGGACCCTCTCCATCAGGTCCATGTCCTTCTTTTCAGCAGGAACAAATGCAATACACCCCGGTGCACGCGTGTGTTTATTCCCATGTGATCATCAAGGTGATCAGAGGGGTTGAAGTAATTTCCCATCCAAATAAACACCTTGCCAGCGTTTATCCCAATGCCTAATCACGGCAAGGAGCCACATTTGCTGTGGTGGGCGCAGGCATCTATCTGGTGTGCTGCTCTCTGCCTGTGCCTGGCTTAATACGGAAAACAAACGGAGGGAGCAGACCCCCTGGGCAATTTTTAAATTGCTTCCCAGCCTAGTTATTTCCTGACAGTGATTTTTCAAACGCAGGAGGAGCAGCAGCAAGGACAGGCTCGCCCCGTCCTTTCCCAAAGAGCCTGCTCCGAGGGTCCTGAACGAAAACGATCCAGCGTGATGTGAGCGGAGGAAACGTGGACGCTAATTTCAAACTGCAGAGGACATTTCAGTTTTTATCAGCTTCTCTAACTCACAAAAAAAAAAGTCTGAAGGGACTCCGGTCTACAAATCCCTGCCCCAACCCTCATTTTGAATTTGCTCCTTTTAATTGCCTTTGTGCGGAGAGGAAGGCTGGGAAATTTCCGCCTGACGGATGCTTTGTTTGGGAAATAAAGGGCGGAAAAAGAGGAGTTTGGAGGGAGGGATTGCCAAGGTGACCATCCCCACCAGCTGCACTGGCACCAGGATGATGATGGACACAGTCACCACCTGCTGGTGCAGCTTTAGCAAAGTGCCAGGACACATGTAATGGAGAGTAGAAACCACCAAAGAAACCCAGAACCTCAGCAACATCAGTGGAAACTGCTATTTATGGCTCCTGCATCACACAAAGAGCACATTATGGGATGTCCTTATCCCTACGGACTGGTATTGCGGTCCCTCACAGACTCGTGCAGTATCTGACAGCATCACTCATGGTGCTCAACCATTTTTTATCTCTTATCCCCATGTGTACCTATATCATTTTGTACCTTTGCTTCGCCTCCGGCTCCGATACTGCTCGGTGTAGAAGGTTAACTGGGTTTCATCGTCCGCCTCCGAGCCGGAGTTGCCTTTGGCACGGCCAAAGCCGATCCCACCTGCAAGCAATAGAGAGGAAAAAATCAGCCCTGTCAGCTGGGATGCACAGCAGCAGGAGGGGGGAGACGGGAGCTGCCGGATTTGGCCAGGATCCACCACTCCCCACCCAGGTGCTCCGCTCGGGGTCACCAGGGACTTCTGCCACCCGTCATTTTCCTCCCTTCCTTATCCTCAAGAAGCAAGACCCCGCGGTGCCAACTGCGATGGGAATGTAAGAAGATGCTTTCTACCCCCCCGGGAATGTATTTTAGAAATGTTTATTCACAGTTTATTTACCAAAAAAATAAAACCTCTCAACGTAGAAACTGCTCTCCCCAAGGACACCTACACATTAAGAATGGTGAATTTTAGGTGTTTGCTTCAAAGCCAGCCCCGCAGAGACAAGGCGGGTGGGGGGAATACACACCTGGGGGGCACGGTGAGGGTCCAGCTCCCCTCTCTCAGCCCCCACTTTGCCCCGTGTAGCTCCAGCAGCTTGCCCGTGATGGCCAGCAGGATGTGTCCCTGCAGTGGCCAGCACCCACAGCGTGGCAAGGAGCCAGGCTGGCTCCCAGTTTATCCAGCATCTCCCTCCCGGAGCCGATGTGGGATGCTGGAGGAGCCACCTCGCTTCAGCCACCGGACCCACCAAGGAGCAAGAGATGCTTTAAAAGCAACACAGGCTCCTCACTGGCAGAAGTCCTTCAATCCTCGCCGAGTTTAAAGCAAAGAGGCCTCAGGAGGTTGACAGTGGCCCTTTAAACTGCCATTAAAATATTTTACTGTTTTTAAAAAATCCTTTATTCTAGGCAGAAGCACAATTTCCCCATTTCTTGGCAGAGGGAACAGAAAACGAGCGGTGCCTTCTGCCCTCCAAAATCCTTAATCACCGTCATGAGAGGTGGCTGGCAGGAGCTGGGGGGACTCCAGGAGCTCAGCACGTGGCTCCTGCCCCATCTGTGCCCCTGACGTGGCCGTGCACTGCCCTCGAGGGGGGTCTCAACAGGGGGGTGTAAAGAAGAAGCTTTGCCAGACAGAATCACAGAATGGTTTGGGTTGGAAGGGACCTCAAAGATCATCGAGTTCCAACCCCCTGCTCTGGGCAGGGACACCTCCCACCAGACCAGGTTGCTCCAAGCCCCATCCAGCCTGGCCTTGAACCCCTCCAGGGATGGGGCAGCCACAACTTCCCTGGGCAACCTGTTCCAGTGTCTCACCACCCTCATAGTAAAAAATTTCTTCCTGATATCTAATCTGAATCTTTTTCTTCCAACTTTAAACCGTTTCCCCTTGTCCTATCACTACATCTCCTGGCAGAGTCCTTCTCCAGCTCTTCTATAGGCACCCCTCAGGTATTGAAAGGCCACTATAAGGTTTTCCTCCTGAAATTGGCAGGCAGGTCAGTGCTTGCACACAGCAGCATTCAATGCTAGGACATGGGGGCTGGGGGCTTTACAGACTCATCCCCCAAACCCGTAACCCACCCTCAGACCCCCGTGTCGCAGTGAACACCCAGCTTCAGGCTCCAGCCACCCCCAGCAACGGGGGTTTTGAAGGGCACGGGCAGAGCGGTAAAACCAATCAGGCTTATTCACATCAGCAAGGAAAATCTTAATTAACCTGGGCTTCTAACGCAGGCCCTCGGGCAACCAGCCAGGGCTGCGGCTCCATCATACATCCCCGCTGCCCCCGAGGCAGGGCTGACAGGCACCAGCTATGGGAGGTTTCCCCCCCACCCCCAGCTCCAGGAGCTCAGCAGATCCAGCTCCTCTGCCCAGGGAAAGGGACCTGGATGCTTCCTGTGCAGGCAGGACACGCCACGTCCCCTCTGCCACCGTCCCATCAGCCAGACCTGGTCCCTTTTGGTCAGGCAGCTGGCTGGGGGGTGGGCAGAGGCAGCAATCTCTGCTGCTTGCCCCCCTCTTGCACCCTGCTGATGTGAGCAGGCAGGGGGGGCAGGCAGGGAACAGGCAGGGACAGGCAGGGGATCTCTTGCACCCTGCTGATGTGAGCAGGCAGGGGGGGCAGGCAGGGGAGAGGCAGGGGACGGGCAGGGCAGACAGGGGACAGGCAGTGCAGGCAGGACAGGCAGGGGACAGGCAGAGCACAGGCGATGCAGGCAGGGGACAGGCAGGGGACAGGCAGGGGACAGGCAGCAGCCACTCCAGCAGCCACCATCCCAGCCCCCTCTGGCCGCTCGGCGTTTGTTTGCCGGCTGCGTCTCGGTGATGGATGGCGCTGACACGTTAAATTACTCAGGCTGGATGTCTTCGGAGAGCTGGTGACAGCGATATTGCATTTTCTGATTACCCAGCACTGCGCAGGATGTATAAATACAGGAGCGGGGAGACCTCGGCGCAGGTCCCCCAGCCCGCAGCGGAAACGTCTCCTCTGACCCAACACGCGGTGGCAGAGGTCAGCTCGGAAACACGGGCTTAGGGCAGAAAAACGATGGCAAGGGATGCACTTTTTACCCCTTCACGCTCTCAAGGATGCTGGGATGCAGCATCTTGGCAGCGGGTTTGGGGGTCCCAGAGCCCAGTCGAGGCAGCCTGGAGGATGCAGGAGAGCTGGTCCTGAACCGATCCTGCTGTGAATCTGATTTCATGTCTAACTGGTCCCAAAATCTTCCTGAGGCACCTCTGTGAGATGCTCACGCTTGGGGCAACACCTCCTGTACCAGCTCCACCTCAGTGAGAGGCTTCTCGCCAGGACACAGGGCTGAGGATGCCCAGGATGGGGCTGGGGATGCCTGGGATGCCTGGGATGCTCGGGATGGGATTGAAGATGCTTGGGATGGGGCCGAGGATGCCTGGGATGTTTGGGATGGGGCTGAGGATGCTCAGGATGGGGCCGAGGATACCTGGGATGCTCGGGATGGGGTTGAAGATGCTCGGGATGGGGCCAAGGATGCCCGGGATGCTCAGGATGGGGTTGAGGATGCCTGGGATGTTTGGAATGGGGCTGAGAATGCTCGGGATGGGGTCGAGAATGCCCAGGATACTCGGGATGGGGTTGAAGATGCTTGGGATGGGGTCGAGGATGTCCAGAATGGGGCCAAGGATGCCCAGGATACTCGGGATGGGGTTGAGATGCCCAGGATACTTGGGATGGGGTCAAGAATGCTCAGGATGGGGTCGAGGATGTCCAGAATGGGGTTGAGGATGTCCGGGATGGGGCCAAGGATGCTCAGGATGTTTGGGATGGGGCTGAGGATGCTCAGGATGGGGTCGAGGATGCCCAGAATACTCGGGATGGGGTCAAGGATGCTCGGAATGGGGTCAAGGATGCCCAGGATACTCGGGATGGGGCTGAGGATGCTCAGGATGTTTGGGATGGGGTCAAGGATGCTCGGGATGGGGTCGAGGATGCCTGGGATGTTTGGGATGGGGCTGAGGATGCTTGGGATGGGGTCGAGGATGCCCAGAATACTCAGGATGGGGTCTTGGATGCTCACAGCATAGAGAGCCCCCATGTAGCTGACGGGGACAAACAGGGAGAGCACCCAACTCAAGCCAAGCAGCCCTGCCTGGCCAACGCTCTTTTTCTCTTTAAAAAGAGGGAGAAAAGCCACCAATTACCAGGAAAAAAGAGAAAGATCCCAATGGCCATGACCAATTATGACGTGGAAGAAGACGCTTCCAAAGAAAGATGCCAGGGAAACAGCAACTTTGCCCCTAACACACCAGCAACTCTCTGAAGGGGCTCCCTCAAGGAGCTACATCCCCTTTACACCCAGTTTCCTCTTGTTATTTCGAGAAAAAAAACAGCTCCCCCTCCTCTCCCCTTCCCTCCCCACCACCACCCGCCCCAACGCCTGGTCCCCAGGCGTTGGGGTGGGTGGTGGTGGGGAGGGAAGGGGAGAGGAGGGGGATGCTCAAGGAAGATGCTCCAGCCTCTAATCCTGTTTGGGGATTTACAAGCTCGTTAATCCCTTCAAATAGATCGCAGCTCAGCCACGCGCCGGGGCAGGGCACTCGTTTGGAGCCCAGTGTTAATTTAACGGGGAGCCAGGCGGGGTGCCAAGGCAAACACCTCTCCTTAACAGTGTAATTAAAGGTGGTGGCATTAACCAGGGACACGGAGGCAGGGAAAAATTCAGGGATTAGGGGCTCCATCACCCGCAAAGATTTTTTGTTAGCTAAAGCCGTGTGTGGGGTTTTTTTCGGTGGGGGGGAGGGAAGGGGAGAGGAGGGGGATGCTCAAGGAAGATGCTCCAGCCTCTAATCCTGTTTGGGGATTTACAAGCTCGTTAATCCCTTCAAATAGATCGCAGCTCAGCCACGCGCCGGGGCAGGGCATCCCTTCAAATAGATCGCAGCTCAGCCACGCACCAGGGCAGGGCAGGATGCTCGTTTGGAGCCCAGTGTTAATTTAACGGGGAGCCAGGCGGGGTGCCAAGGCAAACACCTCTCCTTAACAGTGTAATTAAAGGTGGTGGCATTAACCAGGGACACGGAGGCAGGGAAAAATTCAGGGATTAGGGGCTCCATCACCCGCAAAGATTTTTTGTTAGCTAAAGCCACGTGTGGGGTTTTTTCTCTTTTTTTAAAAAAAAAGGTGTGGTTTTGGCATTAAAAAGGTGAAGGAAAAAAAAAAAATGCAAACCTGACCTTTTAAATCCCTTCCCCAAAGCTAGGAGGTTACAGAGCATCTCAGGGAGACAATTGTGGATCCAAACCAAATCAAAACTGAGTCGAAATAAAGAAATAAGGAACAGGAGCTATTTGGATAACTCCTGTTTGAGGCCACATTGACCTCAGATGCTTAATCCCTCCAAGCTGGATGTTATAATAGAAGTGGGAGCTCATTTTGTCCTCAACAGTGACACGCTGGGTGACACCTGTGTCCCTGCATCCCCCTGCCCTCAGCCACAGCCCCCTCTGCCAATGAAAAAGGATTTTCTACATCCCTCCCCTCCAGAGAAAGGGCCAAAAACCCAGCACACACCACAGAATAACAGAATGATATGGGTTGGAAGGGACCTCTGGAGATCATCCAGTCCAACCCTCTGCCAAAGCAGGTCCTCCTAAAGCAGGTCCCACAGGAACGTGTCCAGATGGGTTTGAATGTCTCCAGAGAAGGAGACTCCACCAACTCCCTGGGCAGCCTCTTCCAGGGCTCTGCCACCCTCAAAGTGAAGAAGTTCCTCCTCATGTTTAGGTGGAACTTCTTACGTTCAAGTTTGTGCCCATTCCTTCTTGTCCTGTCACTGGGCACCACTGAGAAAAGCCTGGCCCCATCCCCCTGACACCCACCCTTTAAGTATTTATAGGCGTTGATCAGATCCTCCCTCAGTTTTCTCTTCTCCAGACTAAAATGACCCAAGTCCCTCATCCAACCTCCCTGCCCAGCTCCGTTGGCTTCACTCCACCTCCACGCTCGCCTGCCCCATGAAATGCAGTCTCCTGGGTGCTCAACAAGCCCCTCTGCTCCCAGGCTTCCCCAGTAAAAAACAGATGAGGATTCCCCTCCCCAGCATTGCAGTGAGGTCTCTGCACCGAGGGCTGGCAGGGCGACGCAGAGCTATACAATTAGCTAAATGGAAATTTGCAGTTTAATTAATTTACCCCCAAAAAGAGCACCAGCCAGCTGAAAAAAAAAAAAAAAAACCAACCAAACGGGGCCAGGAAAAAAAAAAAAAAAACCCAACCAAAGGGGCCCGGAAAAAAAAAAAAAAAACCCAACCAAAGGGGCCCGGAAAAAAAAAAAAAAAACCCAACCAAAGGGGCCCGGAAAAAAAAAAAAAAAAGATAAATTAGAAGTGATTTTAGGGAAGAAAAAAAGATATGCAAACATTTTCTTTTGAAATGAATCCAGTCAAAGAAAAAAGAAAAAAAAAAAAGAGATAAAGAAAAAAAGCACTTTAAAAAATGAAGCGCTCTGCTCTAGTTTGTCATTGCAGCAGGGGGACTCACGTATGCACGCTGCCTTCAGCTGATGAAAATTCTTCGTCCTCATTGATCTTCCCCCTTTTCCTTCTGCCTATGCCCAACAAAACCACACCAGGGCCGGTGGTGGGACGAGCAGGTGACGGCCCCATGGCTTCCACCATGGAAAATTGGGATCACCCTGACCCCAGACCGCAGCCAGGAAGGGTTTTATTTTCACCGAGGAGCAACTCAATGAGCTGGACGTGGTGAGAGCTCCCGGCTGAACCCCCAAAAAGCCTCAACCAACAAAATGTGACGCTCTCAAGGCACTGTGGAACAAATGGTTCTCCTTCCCTGGGCCACGAGTTATCCAAGGTTACGCTTTTCCCAAAAAAAGTCACACTTTGGGTCACTTATGGCACAGCCAAGACCTCTAAAACACAAGCAGCCCCAGCCCTGATAAACACCGGCAGAAGGATGTATTAATTGCTTTTTCCTTCTCCAAGCCAGGGTGCTTTTAAAGGCCTGCCCCAGGAGAGGGCACCAGACCCCCTCTCTGCACAAACCGGCCTCCCCCAAGGCCACCTCCTCACCCCGCACCCCGACATCTCCCCCAGCCCTTGGGGTGGGCACAGCGTGGTCCAGAGGGCAAACCCGCATCCCTGCATCCCTCCCTGCATCTCCCAGCGCAGCACTTCCCAGTTTAAAGCCCCGCTCCTAGTCGGGATGCTCCGGGTACCAGCCCCCCTGCATTTTGGGATCCAGTCAATCCAAGCAGCATCCTTCCCTCCGGTGCTGTCAGCCCTCAGCTGAGATATCCTCCTTCCAGCCCACCCCCTCCTGCACCTCGGCTCTTCTCATCCTCGCTCTCCCTTTATTATTTATAAACCCTAAACGCGCTTCACTCGATAAAAGTGTTTAGGGAGAAACTTTGTATGAAAAAGGCATTAGACAAAATAAAGCTATATGGTGCTGTAAATGGAGAGGGTGGTGTGCTTTGCGGCGGGGTTGTTTTGTTTTTTTTTTCCTTAAGTCGGTCTTCTCAGCAAAATATGACCTTTCCCAGAGCTGCTAGAAACACTTAGTGCAGAATCAGATTTAATGACAAGCAATGGGCTGCAGTTTAAATGCACTTAGCCCAGGGAAGCGAAGCGAGGCAAAGCTTATCCCAGATTTGTTTTTTGTTGGGCCGGGGGGCGACGGGTTGTTTGTTTTCTGGTTTGGTTTATCCCACCCTTCTGCCGGAGCAGCACTCGGAGCCCTTTCAGAGCCTTTCCATCCAGGAGGAAATCCTTTTCCCCTGCAGGGAGAGCGCTCCAGCTGTAGGGCTCTGATGAGGTTAAGCATTAATTAAATCGAACCGCCGAGAAAATAATTACACACGTGCATCCGTCAGGCTGACTTGTCACTACCCAGTAACAAAGTTGGATGCAAACTCCATCAGCGGAACTGTCACACGGCTGTTAGGAGGAAATAAATGCATCCCAAACGGACAATTTCATTTAGGGGGAGGTAGGGAAAAAAAAAAAAAAAAAAAAAAAAAAGCCAAACTCGCAGATTGCAATGGATTAATGAGGCGAAGGGTTTGTGTTTGCAAATGGATGTACAACGCAAACATGGTGAGTTGTGATATCATCGTTTAACCTTAATGTCCGAGAGCTCGCCCGCCAGAGGGACAATTAACCACGGGCTGTAAAAACAAACCCCCAGCACGGGAGAGGCACTGGGAAAGGTGTGTAAACGGCCTCAAAAGTGTCCAGCCACGGCTTTCATAAGCGAAAAAACATCTAAATTAAAAAGAAGAGGATGGGATGGGGCTGTGGGGAGTGAGATCTCCACTGGAGATCTCCACTGGCTTGCATTTTGGGGCTTCCCACTGATTTCTGTCACCTGAGACCTTAAAAATATTTTTTCTAGGGCTGCTGGGGAGGGCTCCTATAGGTGGAGACATTCAAAGTTACAGTCCCCTCCTGAACTTCTTGGGTACATTATTCCTTGGGCAACTAAGGGCAGACCCAGCTCCCCACCACCTCCAACAGCACTCGCAACCATCCATGACGAGCTTCTGGTGGGAACAGAGACCCAAGGAAACCACAGCATGTTGGGCACCAGCACCATGGGGACCCATCCTGCCCCCACTGCAGCCGAGGGAGCAGCCACGGCAGCACCTTCCCAACTGGCCTGGGCCCTTCCCTTCCAGCCATCCTCTTCCCTTCTACTGGAGGACACTTGGAGCCCCAGGAGACAGCTGGAGAGCAACTGGCACAGTGGAGAAGGTCTGTGGCAAGGCAGCGGGTTGTGCTCCAGCTCCTGGGTGTCCTTTCCCTGGGATGGAGAGATGGAGGGATGGAGGGTGACCTCGCCAAGCACCATGAGCAGGTTGCCAAGCGGGACACGGCAGATGGAGGAGAAATTCAGCTCCCCATCTCAAGCAGAGATGTTGGGTATGAGCCAGTCTCCAACTCTCATACAAAGGAAACGTGATTCTGGGCAGAAATGGAGGGCAACGAAGGGCGCTCTTGTCCTGGTGTCACTGACTGTGCCCATGGCCACCAATAGGCAGAGGGACCAGGTGGCAGGAGTGATGGGGTGAGGGCTGAGAAGACTTTCTCCTGCCTTGAGGCACAGATGGGGTTCTGTGGGAGGCAGAAGAGCGCCAGCCTGGGCAGGTGGGAGATGGAGGGTGCGTGTCCCCAGAGACAGGGGACAAGCTGGGCTGTCTTGGGGCCACCTTCAGCTCCCACACAGCCAGAGGCTCTGCCCGCAGCCGGGCACCACGGCTCCTCCTAAGCTCGGCTGTGAGGATTAATTGACTTGCTCCATTAGTGACCAAAAAAACCTCTTGCCTTCAGGCAGTCTAAAAATGAAATAAAACCCAAGAAAAATGAGGCCAGAGCAGGGACTCGGGGAAACTTCACCAGATGGTCACTGTGGACCCCAAAACACCCACGCTCATACATGCTAAAATACAGATCTATGTATTTGAATAACGACTGAGAAACAAACCAAATAATTTAAACCAGTTAAAGACTCAGAACATTTTCTTCACACTAAGTGAATAATTTATGGGCAGAGCTATAATAACAAAAAAAAAAAAAAAGCCCTCTCCAGGCCTGTATTGCAGGAAAATGTATCCAGAATAAAAGATCACATTTCAGACTCATAAATAAATGAAAAACAAAACCCACAGTAAACAGAAAGAAAAGTATTTCCTACCCGGTTCCTGGTGCTGCCACAGAGACCCTCAGTGTGCAGGGTAGACCATGGCCAAGGGACCCCCCTGCCCATCATCCCTGGAGGGACCCCAATGCCTCCTCCTCCTCCCCAGCTGGAAACCTGGACCCAAACCCTCCTCAGAGCCTCCCCACTCACCACTTAACCCACAGCTATGAGCATTTTAAGCACCGAGAGCAATAGAAGGCGGCAGTTTCCCTCGCTGAGAGGCAACACAAGGACCAAATCTTGCTCATGGGGCCATTCCAGCCAACCTCTTGTTGCTGCAGCGTAGCTGGCAATGGCTATCAAGGCTTCAAATAAAACTCAGCAGCCCCCAGCACATTTTGTGAAGTGCAGCCTTTAGAGCTATGAATGTTGCTCCCACCCTCTGCATGGGCCCTAAAAAATAGTCCAAAAAACCCCAAGCACTGGGAAAGCACAATGAGGAGAGGTCCCAGTGATGCGAGTTACAGCCAAAATGAACTTCACCCCTTCCTTCAAAATTCAAATGTACCAAGAAACCATATTCCTACCAAACCAGGGTAGCTGGTAGGGACCATAGACTTCCACCAGACCTGGATAAATCCCCAGGTGGGGACGTGAGGTGACACCACTCCCAAGCATCTCCTCCAGACCACATTAGAAGATGCTGGCTGGGGTTTGCTCCTCTTCACCCCATCACGGAGGAGCTCCGGGGTCCCCATGCTCAGCAGCGAGGGTGAGGAGATCCTGCCTTCCTCCCCAGCCCAACTTTTTTGGCCAAACCCAGGGTATTGGAGGAGCGGTGGGTGACCACAGCAACCTACCTCGGGGTCGGCTCCGGCGTTTCCGTCTCCCCACGGATGTGCTGCGCAGCGCGGGCTGGAGCTGCCCGATCTCAATCGGCGTGTTGGTGCGGAAGCTCTCCTTGAACTTCTGCATCAGGGACTCCACCGTCTCCTGCGTCACCTCGGGAGCTGCAACACCAGCAAAGGGACTGCGGTTAAAAGAGTGACCCGGCCACCACGTCCCCACTACCCCTACAGCTCCTTCCCCCTCAGAGGACACCATGAGCCAGAGAAGAGTCCTGGGGCAGCAGCTCTACCACAACTCACTGAAGCCACCCACTGAAGACCCATCCAGCACTTTCCAAGAAATTGGATTTTTTCCATGCTGCTTTCCAGCATTTTGGATCATTCCTCCCCTCTTTCCCCACATGGACGCAGGGCACTTGGAAGCATCGTGCCCTTATCCAAAGGACTCCAAACCCACAGGAACTCCCCAGATGCCAAGTTGGCTTCTGGGGTTTAATTTGGAGTCAAACCCTAGGCTTGGGGGGGTCAGATGCTCCCTGGCAAGCAAGTTTGGGATTCCAGAGTGATGGGCAAGGCTGGGGTGGGAGCCAGGAGAATGATGTAGAGCTGGTCTGGGCATGGCCTGAGCTGTGTCAGGAATCCCTGGGGTCTCTTCCAGGGGGTGCGTTCCCAGGCTGGGCAGCAGCACCTGAGCCCAGGAGACAGCTTGCCCCAACGCCCCACGGCACATCACAGCTTGCTGACATTTCAACTCCCTGCTCTCACACGCTCCCCACCCAGAAATGCCAAAAAGAATCCCCAGAATTGTCCTACGAAGCTCGCTACCCACCCGCACTATGGGCGGTTTTGGGAAATCATGAAACCATTTGCAAAGAGCAAGGATGAAATTGAGGATCAAAAGGTTTGTCCTCCTGCTGGCCACAGAGGTCTCCCAGGTTTAACAAACGCTTTGGCCTCTGTCAGCTCCTTGAATAAACTCATTAGCAGAACATAACCTCTGTCCTGTCTTCGTTTCAAGAGTCACCAAGTCCCTCCGATTAGCTCCCAAAGCTCCCCAGCCCGCAGCGTGCCCGTGTGGGGCTGGCAGGGATCACCAGCCCCATAGCCACCCCACATCCCGCTTGGATAAGGGATGAGTGAGAGCCTTGGAGCTCCCCAGCCTGCCAGGAGTTCCAGATGATGCACCACCCGCCCCATCTCCCAGGTCCAGAGACAAATCAGCTCTGTGTGGAGCTCCTCGGGCTCCCAGTGAGCTCAGGGGGTGGAACTGCTCCGGCCCATGGACTCCAATTCCCTTCACAGCGTGTGGCAGGGTCTGTTTTAGTGCGAAATGAGAAGGTGGCCATGCAGGACGAGGCATTTGTAGTCCTAGACAAGGATTTGACTTAAATGCAGAGCCTACAGCAGACTCCTCCAACAGCCACCCTGTGCCATGGGCAGTGCCACACCAGCCCAGGGAGCAGCTCCTTATTCCTTCTCCCCAAATGTCCCCAGCCTCCCGAGGGGCACGAGGCTCTAGACCACCTCCAGGGTGGTTGTCCATCACCACAGGCTGCAGAGAAGGTACAAAGATCTGCTGAGGCCACGGGGAGGTGAAATCCCAGAGAAGAGCAGCCCAGCAGCTGTGCCCAGGGGCACATTGGGAAGGCTCCAGAGATGATCCATCCACCGGGTGATGGAGAGAAGAGGGTCAAACCCACTGTCTGTGTACGCACAGAAGGTGGGAACAATTTCAGGAGAGCTCCAGAGAGAGGGTGACCTAAGGGACCAGCTGTGTTACATCTTCCCATTATTCAACCCCAGGCACCACAGATCAAAGGCAGAGCTCCCCAAAGCCCCCCAGATCCTGCGCTGTTGGATGCCCCAGCAAACAGCATCACAACAGTTAAAAAAAATAATATTAAAATCAAGAGCGGGGAAAGGTCTCCAAAGAGCATCTAGTCCCACCTCTGACAGCATGCATCCAGCCCCTTCTTGCAGGGCTCCTCCGAGGTGCCAGAGAAGGATGCTGGGGGCCAGGGAAGGAGGCTGGGGGGAGGGAGAAAGGAGGCTGGGGTAGGGGGGAAAGGAGGCTGGGGGGGAAA